AGGTGTGTAAACTCAGCAAAATATTCTAAAAGAGTTCAGTAGTCCATAATAGTATTGGGTCTTCCACTTAACTGGCAATGACAGAAACTGTTGACCTGAGTCCCATACAGCTCAACATAACAGCATGGCTTTACTTCTTATACTTCGTTTTTATACTTTTCTGCTGGATGGTTAAGACCAAGGTAAAGCAGGACCCATGCAACAAGTGCTGTAGCTTTTGGGTCTGATAAGGTCAGTGAAATCCCCTCAGGATTTATGCTTTACATGTTTTTCATTTGAGGTGGGCTCTTCTAATTTTATACTTCTCTGATTGCAGTTTTACTTTATGTAGGTATGTTATTATGGACATACATGTGTGTTGCCAGCTAAATAATATTAACATAAAAATAAACTTTCTAAGCAAACAAAAACAACACACCAAATTCCTGCTGTCCTCTCCCCCCATGCCAGTAAGGCTGTGATGATCTCTTATGGTTCAATCTTGGCCAAAACTTATCTTGCCTTAAAAGCAGCTACAATGTCATACCCTGACATTATAATTTCAAGAATCAGAACCAGTTTTTAGCTCTCTTTTTTGTTCTCAATTAAAGAGTATATGTTCTTAGATATTGACAAAATTGGTCATTATTTGAAAGCATCATATTCCTTCCTGAAAAGCTCTTTTCTGTCCTTTTAAATTGCCAATATTTTGTCCTCCTTTTCCTAAAGGTTAAAAACCTAAATTCTTGGCCAATGTATCAAACACCCTACCTCATCTCTAATCCCTCTGGGGAAACTTAATATTATGGTATCATTCACTTGATGCTTATCATTTACTACTTTTGGTTAAAAAAACCCCCTACAGTAAATACACTTACTGATTCCTCATTTAGATTATATTTCCCCATTTTAAAAGCAAATACCCTTTCTTATATTTTTTGAAAATTTTACAATTACTGAGAAAGATTGAGAGGCTTACCTGGAATATTTGCAGGATGTTGTGTTCCTCCATGTACTGGAGTGAAGCTTCGTAGGGATCTTCATAAACTATAGGATGGAACCTCCCTTTAGGGGTTTGTGTCTTTTCTTGCTTGAATTCTGAAAAATCATCCTGCAATGGAAATAGCCCCCACGGATTTTTAACAAATGTAAGAGCTTTGCAAATCCGTAGTTATAGATGGACTCTAGTGTTGATGTGATCTTAAAACCAGGAAGAGGAGAAAAAATAGGTTTTTGTGAGAGATTTAGCTCATTTTCCAGACAATGTGATGCTCCTCAAGCCCTGGGAGGTATCTTAAGGATCCCCAATCTACTGTGTATATTTTCCTTTCACAGGGATCTCCAATCAATTCCAAATTCCCTTCCCTTGGTAGAAACCCATACAGGGGAAATGACTTAATGTAACAGAGTTAATAGCCAAATCAGGGCTTGAAATCCAGATTTTCTAAATCTTCGTTCATTAGTCCTTTCGGGAGGGCCTCAAAGTTGTAAAGGAGGTGAATTATCTCTTTTATTTCCCTTATTTTCTCCTGCCCTTCTTGAGACTTATGAGTCACATATACTACAATATGTAGGGTTATTCCTCATCTTTATTCCTGCACGTGTCCTTCTACCCCCTGCTCTATGCCACTTCTACTGCTATCTTGGCCTTTAACCTCCCAGGAAGTATCAAGTACCCTTTTACATACAGATTTGATTTTGGTGGCTTGAGTGTCTTCTTGACTGGTATCAGAGTCCAGTTTGGACAAGATGGAGGGAAACTTTGAGTCAAAGGCTTGGTCCAACTCTTGGAAATAATTGGTGAATCCGGCATCATCTAGGACAAAGGCTTGGCTAGTGGTTGGTTTTTCACTTTCTATTGTCATTGAAAACTTGGGTTGGAGGCTTAGGAATTGGCTAGGCTCAAATTTGCAGGGTTGCATTCTGTAGTTATTCTGTTCATCCTGTTGGCTGAACTCAAACTCATCAAGTGCTCTGTAGAAAGACAGATAGTTTCCTTGTTGGTCAGGCTGTGTACTTATGAAATTGTCAGCATGATATTCTTCACTATAGACACCTTTATCAACCATAAATTCATCAGTATTGATGTCATCTTGGTAGACAGCTTGCTGTTCAGTTGGTTGAGTGGCATGATCATACACTTGGTGAAACTCTTTATCTGTTTTAAGTCCATCTTGGTCAGACAAGATCAGGCTAGCTTTCTCAGTTTTCTCTGCTAGGCTGGACAGATTGGAGACCAGCTGTTCAGAAGTTTTTTGGTCAGATGTTCTGTGTTGATCATTCTCAGATGCTCCTCCATTGGATAGCATGGATAACGTGTCCTCAATCTGCTGAGAAACTAATCCTTTGGCCTGGCTAGACAATCTGTGGTCCAGCTGCTCAGAGGCTCTTTTATTAGCTTGACTAGACATCTTGCGATCTACCTGGTCAGAAACTCTTCTGTCAGATTGGCTGTAGTCTGCTTGCTCAGAAGGTCTTTTATTAGCCTGGCTGTATGATGTGTGCCCCACTGGCTCAGAAGTTCTTCTGTCAGTTTGGCTGGGTCCTCTGTGGTCTGCCTGCTCAGAAGCTCTTCTATCAGGCTGGTTGGAGGATCTGCGGTTTACCTGCTCAAGAGCTCTTCTGTCAGCCTGACTGGATAACCTGTGGTCCACCTGTTCAGCAGTTCTATCAGTTAGATCAGGTACCACAAGGTCAATCTGTCTATATGTTATATCATTAGCTTGGCTGGATGTCTTGTCATCAGGTGATTCAGATGACTTTTTGTCAGAATGATAATGTACTACATATCCAGTATCTTCAGATTCTGTGTGGTCATCTGCATTCCCTTTTGACTGGTTCTTCTGGTTGTCTTCTTCAAGGTTATTAGTTGGACCAACATTTGGGGATACAGCAGTGTTTTCAGGTCCCAAGGATTCAGAGGGATCCTCTTCCAGCAGCTCATCCATTTTCTTCTGAGTTCTTGTCTGGTTTTGGTTTCTGGGTGCTTTGGGTGGGTCTCAGTTGTCTAGGCAACCTTCCATGAATGGACAGAATTCCAACTTCTTTGTTCCACCTCTAAGCAACCCTGGGGGACGGTGAACACCTTGCTGCAGACTTGGAACCAGTCACTATCAAGAGAAAGACTGCTAGCTGGGCATGGTGGCATATGTCTATAATCCAAGCACTCTGAAAGGCTGAGACAAGAGGATTACAAATTTGAACTCAGC